TATTTATTTATTTATATAGCCTGCATGGGATTAGTACAGTTATTGTGTGAAATACTCTGTTTTAACAAGTATCCAAAATAAACACTGGCAGTGAGGCAATACCACGAAATTTTAGGCTTAAATGAAATAAAATCTGAACCCCAAGTGAAAAGATTAATATTTTCTTTGTTTGACTGGGTAAAATTTAACTCCTCAAGGAAACAAAACTCGTTTAAAAAGGCACTATCTGTAATGATTTCACTTAAACTGCAGAAAAAAACCCCTGATATTCTGAACACCATTTAAAGGACATAATAACGAAAATTAAGTGGTAGAAATTTCTAGTGCTCATGCAATATCTAATTTAACTTGGAAAGGAGGCCAATGTCTTCCAAAGGACAACTTTTGTTCTTAGTTTGTTTTCTATAGCCACAATGAAAACATACAACTTAAAATATTTTTGGGGAATTATAAAAGTTATATATAGCCTTTAAAAAGCAACAACAAACAAACAAAATACTCCAAACATTTTCTCATCTTTTACTTAGTACAGAAAAAAAAGTCACTAAAATATTAACACAAAGCTAAAGCATAGGAGCAAAAAACTAGTTCTCACATGTGTTTATTCTTAAAATATTAATTAAAAATGACAGCACTTTTATAAGTTAGAACAGCAAGCTAATATACTAGAGAAGTTCTACAAAGCATGTAACGTATGCAGGTGGAAAACCTTTACTTCTCAAAGCTGCTACTGTGCATCTAAAATAAGCAGCCAACTCATAAATGGTCCTTAATTGAAGTAACTGAACTAACAGCTTGTTAGAAGAAGATAGACAAATTATACAGTTCTGTGAATTAGTTACAATTGAGAATAAAATTTAACACTAAATATAATTATCAGAACCAAAGACACCTAAAAACAAAACTAAGAGATACAGATACTGTTCCTGTTTTTTCCATGACCTTAAGAAGCCTCCTTCCTCTCTGCACTCACTAAACATTCCTGTTATATAAAGCTTTCAAATGCTCTACAAAGCTCTCTTAAGAGTATTACACAATTTCTTTTCACTTTTATATGTACCTTTAAAAAAAAATCACAATATGTATATTCAAAACATTTAAGTACTGCAAAACCACTTTTTATACAAAGATTTGTTTAAAAAAAGTCTTCAAGCTGTTCTTCGGAAAGAAAAAAATAGTAATAAATTTTCTGTAAAAGTGATAGACTGGAAATTTTTCAAATGGGGATCTAGTTTATTTCTCCTGACTGTAGAGACCCATGTGCCTGTTACTAATTGTCTCCAGTAGTCAACATAATTCTACATAGTTTTTCATCATTTGATACTAGGTGAAATAGGCTGTATAAATTATTTTTGTGTATTTCAACAATCTAAACCGTTGTGTGAGATGAAGTTCCTCAAATATGCATCAGCACACTTCAAAGTAAACCAAGGTATGAGCCAAATGCCTTCTCAGGATCACTTAGAATTTTGAAGGTCTCCAGCCTCCAGGGAGCAAGGAGCTTCCCTGTGCTATTTTTTCTGTTTGTTTCAATCCAGGGAACCATAGTATCTTGCTTGTCAAAAATGCTACATATGCTAGGTGTAGGCCTAGGTTAGAGATATTGTCTCCTGGAACTTGTTCTTTTTTTGTTAAGTCTCTATCTCGTCTACAAAGACTATTAGTATTAGTCTACACTGGTTACAAAAAAAAGTGAGAGAAGACCTCAACAATAATAGTAGCATATTTCAAAACGCACTTTGCATCCCTGGGATTGTTGCAGCCTTCTGTGGTACATCTGATGCTATCAAAAACAGGTTTCAGGCAAAACATTATTCATCTGACACTGTTGATATATGTTTTATCTCAGCCACACTATATTCACTGCAACACAGCAGATGTCAAAATCCTGAAGCAGACACAGAGGCCGAACAAAAATGACAATGTACCAACAATGGGTTCTTCAGCATTATAACCTGTCCATTCTCACTAGCAGACCTTTCACTCCTGTATTCTACCCCTTCACATATCTAGTTCTATAAGTGCTAATCTACTGCCCTGCCTGAAAGAATTTAAAAATTCTGTAGATCACCTGATAGCCATGGTACTAATAATGTTGACTCAATGAAGGCAATTCCCACAACAGAGACAGAAAGTTCAGTCATGCTGGTTTGATCCTGGACTGTTCAAGCACAGAGGCCACACTGTTGAAGACTGCTCAGTACCAAGCTATGATTATCCTCACTGAAGTACTTACCTAATACATAGTCCCATCAAATCTTTGGTCTAGCTATGAAAAGCTACACTTCAGAAATCTCAATAGAAGCAAACAACAAGTTATGCAATAATAAAACAGCTTGTCAGTGTGACTCATGTAGGCTGATCACCAAAAAAAGGAGTAAGCCTTCCACAGCACAAGATTTGTGGCAACTGTAGCTAAGGATCACCAGAGCTATTAGTTAAATCACCCTGGATTCCGTACTCACAACCTGCTACATCTTCAGGTTTAGATCAGCAAGAATTGTCCAAACTTTACTACTTATTCATGTCATCAAGAAAATTGCCATTCTGTATTAGCCTACAGCTTCTCATCTCCTCTCAGTCTACATTCTGTCAAAGCAACCTCAGAAATGCAAATACTGATTTTCAACTTTCCCTCCAATTCCAGGCTTGACCTATAGGAACTTTGGCTGATAATTTCTTCCAGCTGCTTCTTCATTGTCAGCTATGCTCAGTAGTTTCACATTACTTGGTCAATTCAATCTTATTCTACCCATAAAACACATCAGTGGCAAACTCAAAGGTATTTAAGTACAGTAATCTGTAATTAAAATTCAGAAATGTTGGTAACTACATGACCATACTATTCATTCCTCATCTTCACCCTACAGAAGACATTTTGAAAAGCAAGATTCTCTGCATATTCTCACTGAAAGTGTTCAAGAACAGATCGGAAAAGCAGTAAAGCCTTTTGAAATCCACAATTCAGTGCTGTCCTTTGGGCAACAGCCCTAACCAAGCAGGGTCAAGGAGGTCCAATATTCCACACAACTTCTCAGTCAGAAGTGCTGCCACAGTAGTCACTAACAGAATAGGCACACCTTGTGGGGAAGGATTTGCTACTTAAGAGATTCAAGTAGTGTATCATGTATCAAAAACAGTTGTTCACTATTTGATAAGAGTGGATTTCACCTAGCCATCATTAAAGTTCAAAGTAAAATTCCAGCTTAGGAGATTGACCTGCAGCACAGCACATACTCCAGCTGCAAATCCTCTCTATTACGAGGACAGGTGTATCACTGACTTTTTTTGTTTTGTTTTTATGAGCTAACTAAACTCAGATTACAATTTAATAGAAGATTTAGCTGGTGTAACTACTAAGTGCTGTGGTCCTGGATGTTCTTTAGTCATAGAGCCTGTGATTGTCTGCCTCTGGCCTGAACCATCCCTGCTTGCTAACCCAAATTTTTAGGTATAAAACTAATCAGATCACAGAGAAAAAGAAAGAAAAGTAAGGCCCTGCAATTTTTCTGCTATACTACTTAGAAATACAGACTCAAAAATGCCTGCTGATAACAACAGGAAATTGGTATTGCCAGGGCAAAAGAGGGCAATGAATCTCACAGCCAGGTGGAAAGGACAAGACCAGAAACAGCAATTCTTACAGCAAAGGCTGTCACAGAAACAAAAGCCTAAGCCAACATCTTAGTTTGAATGTTTTACAGGTAAATGAGGCAATCTACTTAAATGACTCCTAGTTTTTTATACCCATTTAAAACTTATCTTGAAAAGCATGCGATAATTTGGTAATTTGCCAATTTTAGCAGCAAGTCATTTCTTTCACATCTTTTTAAACACTTTAAAATACCTTGTGACACAATAACATATAGCTTTGAATGGAACCTGACAAAGTGAGGCTCTGTTTTAAAGATGCACTTGTTGCTGTTCTGTGTGTTAATAACAAACCCACTTAGAACCCATATCACTAAGTTGAAGAAATATTTAAAATATTTTTTAAGTTATTATTCAAGGAAATATTAACACCCCAACACCAGGAAACAAACATGCAATAATGCTGATGTTCATTAATATTTGATGTGTACTTCTAGCTTACTGTTTATGAAAAAGATTTGTAAGTCCTGCTTTTCGATTCTTTCTAATACAAATCATAAGAGCAACTAAGCGCCATATAAATTAACTGCTATCAGATACAAGAGCAGGTAGGACCACGTCATCATTTTTACCTCTTTAATTTTGTTCCTCTTCTCTCGGATATCCGGGTCTGCTGGTTCTCCACTGTTTATCCCTATAAGATTTGGTAAAGGAACAGGGGGCAGTGGCTTGCTCTCTTTCTTTTTCAGCTCTTGCACTACTTTGTTCTTTTCTGTCTGAATCTCAGCTTGAATCTCATCACGTGATTTCTTCAGTTTCTCCTTAGCCTCTTCCAGAGCCTTTTCATGATCTGCTCGGATCTTATTTCTCAGACGTTCCTCTTCTTCTCTAGAGACACAAATGCTAGTCAGCATCTCATTACTAAAAACACATTGCTTATAAATAAACTGCAGCTTCAAAACAGAAGCCTAAGTTGGTTTAGTCTCAGTAATTCTACTGGTTCAGACAGGTTTATTCAGTTATGTTAGTGCATGACCCTGCACTATTTTTGCCATAAACCCTAAAAGAAGAACAGCGCACACATCAGTAACAGCATTGTAGAAAAACATCTCATAGGAGTTTTCTAGATTATATCTGAGCACCTTTGCTTCTCTACTCAACACAGAGAGGAAAAGTCCTACATCCTGTACTTTAACTACAGGACACATGCAGAGGCACATCTAGCAATCATTCAGTTTAAAAAAAAAACAAACAAAAAAAAACAAAAAAAAACCACCAACACAAAACCAGAAGGGTTCTTAACCTTGTCTTCTGCATAATAAATGCATCAAATACACAACTTTAAGACATGAAGTAACTACTAAAAAAAAAATCCCAGCCACTCCTTTTATTAACAATGAGGTGAGCTGCAAGACTTGCAAACCCCACCACAGCGTGTTTTGTCTTGAATTCAGAGCTTATTGTTTCAATCAGTATGGTTCATAAACCTCACAAGTTAAATGCAGAGTTAATTATAAAGCCATTTAGGAGATTTAATAAAGCATGGTCTTGAAATTTGCTATCAACAAAACCAGCATCAAGTCAGTTCTAAGCACAACCTTCCATCATGATTTTTAGTGATCAGTAAAAGTTTTTAGATTTGCACACAAATGAAGAGGGCTGCTGGTTTAAAGCCTGGGCTAAACAAGAGGTTATTCTAACAGACAAAAGTGGCCCGTTCTACTCCTAAAATATTTCAAGGCAACAGAAAGATGTGCATCAGACTCTCAATATGACACAACCTTTTCAAGCTTCTTTAAAATACAGTGTTGCTTAATGACTAATGTAAGCCAAAATAGTTGTAGGGATTTAAAACAAGCCCCAGTTACACAAAACAACACACTCCCTCCCTGTTTCCTCCCTCAGGCAAAAATACTTTTTCCTCAAAGAGCATTAAGGAGCAGAGGGTGGATAATGGAAAGGAAAGAAGGGAAGCAGCAAGTCATGAAAGAAATACCAAGCTTAGCCTTACTGCTTTTAGGAGGAACTGAGACACTTAGCCCATATCAGATGTTTTTTTCAGTATACTGAAAACATACCAATGAAAAGGAGCCACCACCATTTGATATGTGAGAATTAGAACAGAATAGTCCACTTGGAAGAGACCTACAGCAATCATCTAGTCCAACTGCAATTAAAAGCCAATCCAAAATTTACATAGATTGATACACAAGATTGACAACTGCTAACCAAACATTGACAACAAAATTACACTTATATCTACATATTTAAATTAGGATCCTTTTCCTAAAATTGTTCTTGAAAATACTTGACAAAAGTCTGTAACAAACCAGTAATACTTCCAGTGATTCAAACAAATCTAAAGTAACTCCCTAGGGGGCTGTGTTGGAATATTTGGGGATATGGACAGACCTGAGCTTTGCAAGTATAATGGAACTGTTCTTATTAATCTCATAGATGAAGATCATGTCATGTCTATTATAGAACACTGCTTCCCTTTAGGAAAAAAAGGTCAAAGAATGAAGCTAATAATGAATAACTTGCATAGAATTATCATACAACAGTATCAGAGCAATCTCACCAGACTGGTCCATTTTGTGCAAGGTTTATGACTGTTACAGTTCACTGCCTAAGGAGAACTAATTTTAAGTCAAAGTGCAATAAATCAGGCTTTTAGTTCCAGAAATTCACAGTTCAAACCCCCAGTGCATTAGCACTGACTACTATCTCATAAACATCCAATATATCTTTAAGTTAAAATTCATATACCTCTGTTACAGTCTGTAGCTTGGGCTTAAAAGCTCAGATAGAGACTTTTTTTTAGGCATATATTTTATTCTCGGTTTGACAAAGTCTGACATCATTTGATGTCATCCAGAAAATAACTTTCCAGTTTACAGATAAACGTGCATAGCACGCAGGGGGAAAACCACGATACTGTAACATAAATGCTCTCAGCAACACACATTGTTACACAAAGAGTGTTTTGTTAGCCCTTACACTTTTCATAAGTGCTGTTAGGTTTGCATTTAAAAAAATACAGCAGCATTATTCTCTCTCAGTATTTCAGTACCAGAAATACAATGCAGTGTTTTAGCAGAGGCACTGACTGAAAAGCATTCAAACTGGTTCTTCAGCCACTTTTCTCAAAATGACCACATCACATCCATATCTCTCCTAAACAATAAAAAAAATGAAGGACTGCACTCCTCACTTTGAGTATCAAATCCAAGCTCATTAACACTGTTGAACAGTAACAGTCCTCTTCTCCCTCAACTGTAAGGCAAAGAAACAGCTTAAGAAGTGGTACATCACTATTCTAAAGAAAGTACAAGTAATACAATTTAGGTTAAACTTTTACTTCTACTATGACTCACTTATGGGGTAAAATAACTCTTGTGTTCCTGTAAAAGTTACTCACATTCTATCACAGCATCGATGTGCTCAATTCAGTAACAAAAGCAGCTGAAAAAAATCTCTATCAACTGCAATATTTGAAACCACGATATCGGTAGTCTGGAAAGTTTTTCTAAGCCTCTGTACAAGATGCAGCTACAGAGAATGAGAAATGAGGTCGCCAGAACGAGACATCATTCCCCACAGTCATGTTCTCACCCAGAGACAGCATGCTGTATAGGAGCCAAGAAGATGGCTCACAGAGAATGAGAAATAGGAAGTGCTATTGAACATTTAAGAATCAAAACACTTCAGTGTAGGGATAATGTATTTTGGTGGCATGTTTCCTGTTTTCAAAACAGTTTCTAGAGACAAGTGACGGTCTTTGCCTTCTGACTACGTCTTCTAAAATTTTGTAAATAGAAATTGAAATTCTTTTTGCAAAGGATCAACCATCACTGAAAAACCTTAATTATTAGGGAAAACAGGGTAATAACGTGTCTCAGACTTCAACAGAAAGATGTTGAAGGTATACCCAAATGAACCTAATTTGAAGAGGATGCTTTGCAATGAGAGTGCTTTATTCATAAATGGAACTGTTTTGGTATAACCCATGGTTAACATGCATGTCCCCAAACACAATCCCCTGTGTAAAAAAGATTAACGAAGTTTGAGTAGCTATAGTGAGTCTGATGCACTTTGTGCACGATTTTGCACCATCAAGTGTCATGAAGATTTTGCCTTTACCTTTCCTTTAAATTTTCATTCCCAGGTAATGTACACAACAGCAATAATAAAAGCTCTATCCTCTACCAACTTAGTCTATTTCTATATTCAAACTGCATGAAACAGCCATAAATCAGAAAACAAGTTTTGAACTCACATCTGTTTACATTGCAGGAAGCAGTACACAAACATACAAAAGCTGTTGATTTCTACAGCACTATAATCCAATTAGAGTCATTAAGGAGGCTTGAATGACAGGCTACTTCCCTTCACTCACTCAGCAGAATACATAAGCATTTGATAAAAATACACAGAGACTCAATAGAGATGAAAAATTCCAGTGCTAACTGTATGATCAGCTCCAAGTCTTTCTGGAAATGACATTTTGAGATAAACATAAGAAAACAGTAAGATGAAGAGAAAGGTCAACAGGTATTTGAGGGAGTTTACAGGAGATAGTACAAGAGCCTCTTCTGCAGACAGATATTCTCTATGCAATTACCAATGATAGACAGCATGAGCTGCAAGAAATGTCATATTTTATGTTCCAGCTGAAGACATATTTTACCAAATCTAATCAAGTATATAACAATAAGAGAAGGAAAATGACACCCCTAAATACCAATACGACATTTCTCCTGACTTCTTAGGCAACAAGAACTAAGTAAAAATACATAATGAAGTTAAGAGAATGAGAAGATTGGAAATGAGTGGGCAGCAGTGACCACCCCCAAGTCACACCAAAACACCAACAAGCTCCCCATAAGAAAGAGTCAGCAACAGATTAATGCAGTAGATAGCACTACATTCAGATACTTGAAGTTAGAGAAAAGAGACCTCAGAAAGGATCAACCTAAAAATATAAGATTGGAAAGAATCCCAGTATAAACACATATACTAAAATGTGTCAAACAGTTTCTCTATCCAACTACACCCCCCACCATTGCTTCTAGGCAACATAAGCAAACTCTTAAAATCTAGAGCATTTTAAGTAAATCATCAAAAACCTTACCTAACAGCTGCTGGTTCCTTCCAGTCACCCCAGCAGCTTATTCTAAAGTCTCAAGACAGGTTCAAATACCACGAAACTACAGCAGTAGCTACTTTAAAATAAGCAATACTATTAAAAGAATCTGTGATTAGACCATTTTTGCAGCAAGAACCATAAATAGACCTAATAATCAGAATCTGAAACCAGAAACAGGTGCAAGTTTTTTAAACAATTGCTGCAATTAACTATTGCAGCTGCCTATGCAGGAACTTTGTATACTCCCAAAGTGTCCACAAGCTGTCTAAATGTCATTTAGAAAAGACCACAAATTGTAACACTTGATAACCGAATCACTAACTGAAACTTAATGAGCTTTAATTATGCACGAGGTAGTGAGCCTTCTGAATTTAACAGCTACTAAAGCTTCAATTGCCAAGACAATGACTTTTAACATAAGCCTCTCCTATCTGCTGTGACACAACAGGCTCCTGGGAAACTGAATTGCAAAAAAAAAAACCTCACACCAAAAAAACCAACCAAACAAAAAAACCCAAACAAACAAACGACAACCCAAAATGCTTTCAAGCTTGTTCATACAATTCAAGAGCAAAAAAGGAAATAACTGAAATGGAGTCAAGAAAGGAAAACTGGCTGCCAGCAACTGTTCTCTCACACTAAAGAGCAGAGCATTGGGTCATGACAGCAAAAGGGCAACCAGTGTACTGTCACTCGGACTTTCAGCAGATGGATAGACAAGTAGACAAGAACTGTTAAA